AAAGAAATAAAAGAAATAAAGAAAATAAAAGAAATAACGAGGTTGAGGGTCGATTACCCGTTTTGGCAACCTCTATACAGTAATGCGCGATCGTCGTTTTCTCAATTTCTAAGCCATATCGTCGATCGTAACAATATTATATTAAAAAATTATTAATGCAAAAAAATTAAGTCAGAAATTCAAATTTTTCTTAATGTTCGGTAAAAATTATTCGGATTGCTGTTCCGTAATACTGTAACTATATATTTTACTGTCTCGTTATACCTTCACGGATTAATATTCCAAAATTTTAATGAGGATCTACTGTTAAAAATTCAATTTTCAATTATAATCACGAAGTATAAAATAGTTACCTTACTCCATATATCGGATGCACTTACACAGAGCGCGAAATAATTAATTTTCTGAGTTTAGGTATGTGAATCGGGGACTGGGTCCCATGCCAAGAAGACAGGAATGTAACAACGTCGTCAAATATTACCTTTTAATAACATGGAGACTTACAATAATGACGATCTACATTAAATATTTTAATCCAAGGCTGAAATTGGACTCTCTTGATCTTGATATGATAATATTAAAATACCTCACAAATTTGATAATTATTAGGAAAATAATAATAAATAATAAGAACCAATTTTATTTAGCATAATTTTAAATTTCGAATAACTAATAAAACACGTAAAAATCATAACAAGAACAAATTGAAATATATATTAATGTGAAATTGATGGCTCGTATTTTATTTGAGTTTGGATAATTTGATTTTATGATAGGAAAAAGTCGTGTGTAGAATAAAATTAGCACACATGTCGCATTTGTAATTATATGTTGATTTATTATTGTGTCCGATAATTCGAAGACGCAATGAAACGTTAACAAGCAATTGCTCGTTTATTATCGTAACAATACTTGTACTTAATCTCATGCTAATTTTCTTCCTCTGCCTCTAATAACTTTACTTAGAAGATTATCTATTCATATTACCGTCTTTGGAAATTATTTACGCCAGAATAATTTGCAATTAATTGTGTAAAATAAACAGACTAGGCTGATTACGTTCTCGAAATAAATACTATTATCAAGCAGAAATTATACTAGATTGTTTGGATAAACTTTAAACATTATATTTTATCTTGGAGGATAAACAAATAATGTGTTACAATTTAAGAATAAACAAATATGTACGCCAAGACATCGTTGTATTGCAAAGATTGTACTAATTACAACTTTCTAAAATAAAAAAAATTGTATAATCAAGAGGAGTTACAATTCAGTACAATTGGAATATCGACGAAAAGCTCTGAACATATTAATAATAACAAATCAATAATTTGGAAAAGTGTTGCTTAACACCGCGTGGAACATTTTAAGGATGAATGACATAAGGGATATCAACACTGCCCGTTTTCAAGATGAAATAGTCAAATTTTCATCAGAAAGAGTGAGAAAACAATTATTCAATAAAAATAAATAGTGCTCATGTTTCTTATCTTATTGATTTTTTAAATAAAAACCACACACATATTTATACGGAAGGCTTTGAATTTGTTCTTAGCAAGGGATTTTTGTATAAAATGACAATCTACGTTGAACAAAATCAGCCTAATTAAACTAATTGGTTTGTCAATATTAAATATTATTTCTGATATCAGATAACAAATTGTTTATTGTAGAATTCCTGTAAAGGGATCATCATTTATAATAAATTACCTGATCGAGACTTGGCGTTAATGGCCAAAGGCAATATAAATACAGTACAGGGTGGGATCTTTACACGCAATTACTAACCATGAGAACCATTACCTTAAAGTGTATCATTTTCATGACATTAATTTTCTGCGGTGCTAAATTAATTGAATCAGCCGCGCCGAAAATAATCAGACACTATGGCGATAATGGTAAACATAGAATAACCTTTAATCTTAAAAATTTTATAATGCATCATACTAATTTTAACTCTTAAATAAGTCGTCGTATGCGATCAAAAAGTAGGCATATATTGGGAACAAGTCTTGGGGGGCTACAAATTTACCATCATCAATCCAAATTGTCACAAGGGACAATGCGGAAGGTTGTCATGTTATAATGTACATGTCAACTTTTACGTTTATCAACCAACAGGAAATAAAAATGAAAACAAACAATGGGGAATTTTATATGATTTTCATATATTCAGATACAAAAATGGCAACAGAGAATGTTTGTACATTTGGGAAAGCAAATTCAAAAAGGATTTTGATTCTTGTGGAAACATTGTTGATACAATTAGTCAATCCTATCAATTTTTGAAAACTTTTAGTAGGATTGCAAGTCTACTAGTGGAAGATACCGTTGAAGGTGCAGAAATAAGTGGAGCCGTAGCAGATGTCATAGAAGTAGCTATGGTTGCAGTTATAGTAGTATAATTACTTATATGTTCAAATAGCGTATACATTTATACTTTACTTAAGGTGTTTTTTGCTATATAATTATGTATTTGAAATAAAATATTGTTTGCAGAATAAATTTGGTAATCGGAAATACTTATAAAATATGTGAAAAATTTTAGTTAAAAAGTTAATAAGGCTGATCATGAAAATTGTACGAGAATGTTCCTATTGTGACGCAATAACATGAGCCTCCAAGGTTAAACAGGTTTTATTTTCTGAAATTTTTATGTTTGTCCCAATAGATAGGGTACGTACAACTAATAACCTCATTCTCTTCGACTAGCTTCGTTTGAAAACATTTTAGCTAGCCCACGTTTCATTTAAGGTCACCATCTCACATGGTTTTTGCTAAACGCAAGATTTATATTTTCTATTAGTTGTTTGCGGCATTTTTATTGTTTGAATTTAAATAAACGAACCAAAAGACATTATCTCTTTTTTATAATTATTTTGAGCAATCAAGGTTGATAGCATGTATGTCAAAATTCTCATACCAAAGATCTTGCAAATGTCTTCATATTAATTATATATGGATTAAAATGGAAAACTTGAGATCATTATACGAACAGAAAAAATTTTAAGATATATGCTGGGCATTGAAATTATAATTAGAAGCCGAAGAAAGTAAGTCTGATGGATTATTGAGACTAGTCTAGAAATAGAAGACCCTTATGTAAGAAAAATTAATTTAAAGGTAAGATACTTAAAAGCATTAAAGGCTGCAAGAATTAAAAATTGCATGTTTGGTAATAATATAATTGATAGAATAGAGAAATAGGCATATTATTTGTATAGCGAGATTATTTCAACACGAGCCATTATAAAAACTTTAACCATGTAATGTATATTTTATTGATAATTTTCTTGGCAAATGTGATCTGTGCTCCAAAACGGAACAGAAAGGTGTGATTTTTTATTTGAACATATTGTAGAAGAGTTAATTATTATCAAAAAGCAAACCAAATATTCAAAAATATTTACAGTATGTAAGTCTCTCTTTACAATATACAGTATAATATCAATTGTAGTCTGATCATCTCATCAGCAACTGAAACCAATTTGTGAATATAGCATAAATGTAAAAAAACAGGATTACCTAAGTTACTATTGTCACGTTTTGCATTTTTTATACTGTATATCATCACTCACTAATATCTTACCTTTTCTAGGTCGTTTTATTTTGACAGCAGTTAATACTAAAATTTCCATCTCGACAATAGTGAATGAAAGGATGTCTAGTATGTTAGAAAAGAATGATACTGTCTTTGATAAATCAAAACTTACAGAAGAGAAGATTTTGGAGGAGAAAAGAATACACGGGCTCTCATTGGTAAAATTCTTGAACCTCCTACCATAAATCATAAAGTAAACACGTTATAAAGTCAGAATTATTAGAAATTCTCAAATATCAACTCCGAAATAATTGTATTAAATATAAAGCACTAATTATGGAAAACACTTCTGAAAACTCGTCTCCTTAAAATAAAGCGACTAAGATTACTCACAGATTCTCATTAATTTATAGTCATTGGATAATATGCTTAGAGCAGTATATTAATTCAACTTGACAATGACAAATGTACTATACAAGTGTAAAGCTATATTGACTAATTTCTTAAGAATATTAGACAACTTTTTCTCAACTTATTATTCTTTACTGATAATATTAAACACAAATTCAATTAAGATTATATTATCAGATTCTATTTCACTTATGGATAGGTTTTTAATTATACTATTTTGGTATCAAGTTGATATTATAAGTTTAATATAGTGGATCAAAACCCACATATTAAATATTTATAAATAAATATTATTTTGATATCAGTTCAGAATTTACATGTAGACAAAAAATAGGTGTTTGATAAAAGACTATTAAAAGAGAAAAATGCAATCAATAAACTATTTAAAATAGTATTAAACAATAAAAAAAGCAGGTATTAATACAAATGCAGAAAAATTATTTAAAATATTTAGTAATTTCAATTTAACAAATTACAAAAAAACATTAATTGAAAGAATAATTATTCAATAATCAATATTATAGCCAGAAAACATATTTCAGGACAGTTATAATTCAGGAGCTTATTTACAAACCAATAACTAATGATTTTAATGATTTGATTTGATTTTTGATTTTCAAGTTTATATTAAATTTAATATATAAATTATAATGCACTTTCATTTTTAATAGTGTTCTGAAACTCATATAAGTCTATATAGGTCTGTTTGATAACAATTTTTAGAACTATACTAATAATAATCAAACTGCTTTAATATATTAAAGTAATTAAAAAAACTTTTTCCTATAAATTAATTTTTCATTAAAATTATATTATTTGATAATAATATTTTCAAGAAACTCTTTAAATCCAAAATGCTTCCAAGTACAGTTGCCTTCAAAAGTAATGTTTAATTTTATTTATTTGTGTATTTATTTATAGTATTTAAAAAAAAATCTATTTAATTGAATCTTTGGGTCTATAGCACAATGGTTAGTGCTCCAGAAGTCATATTACAAAATTAAGATTCAATTTCTTCAAAAGAATTTTAAAGGATTTTTTTTGAAAAGGAAAAAATCTCTATCCATTGGCTTAATTGTAAAATAACTGATATTTCTAAATATAGTAACTGGTTTATATAAAGATTGTAATATTATTGATTATCCAAAGTTGGTTAGAACTATTATTAACATCATCACATTACCTATAAAAAAATAATAAGAAGAGTAGATTCAAAACCAGTAGCATACCACTGATAGACTTGAAAAGAGCGGATCTCAAACATAGACAACCTCTTCAAGTAGCTCAAGCATGTGGCTAGGTTATAGTTTTACAAACTTTACTATTGGAAGTCCTTGATAGGAGAAGAAATTCGCGAACCACTCCAAAGGACTGAAAACCAAGGTCCAGAATACTGTATTTGACAGTTTAATAACTAGAATACTCTTATAAAAATTGTTTTAGAAAAAATTAAGATGAAATTGCACATCTTTCTGGTTTAAAAGATTGACCAGTAATAGTTATACATAACATCTGACCAGCTTAGTATATACAGTGTGTAACAAAACTTTTTGGAATTTTATTTACGTGACATAAATGTGAATAACTTTTTCAAAACAAAAG